CTTGCAGATAAAAAAAAAAAAAGGCAGATGTCTTTTTATTATCTCTAACAAAAATGTAATATCCTTCTAATACATTTTTTTCCCGATTTCTTCAAATCTGAGACTATTTTGGGACCTAACATTCTAACATTAACCAACACTGTCATAATTTGAGACCTAACAAAACAATAAATAAAAAAAAGATGAAGATGGGACTATTAACTTGCATTACTGTCAGAGATGGTTCTTGGGTATCCTTGTAAAACAAATGATTATATAATCTGAAAATTTAAATTGTAATGCTTGTGCATGGGATCAGAGTTTTTGTTTTTTTAATGACATTATTTGTTTGTTTCAAAATTTTAATACATTTTTTTTAAATACCAGAATGTGAACATAACCTCACAATAAGTCTTTATTATCTTTTGTTGAATATCAAAACTTATGATTAGTTACCTTTTTTACTAAATATATGTTTTAATATTACTTAAATAATTTGTTGGATAGCTACTTTTTATTCTGAATCACGTAAAAATATGACGAAGTAGTGTTTTACTTACTTCAGTACAATCACATGATGGGTAGAGAAGGAGAAGGGGATGGAGGTGGACTGAATCGGGGTTATCTGAATCGACGTCCCACATAGCGCAACCACTGCCTGTGCTTTGGGTATCAGACTGAGATCTGGATTTGGAGACCTTTTAAGATGAACAATGGATGCTGATTGGCTTTCGTGGAGGTATGGTTCAAAAGTGATTGGCCTGTGACGAGGGCAGGTAAGGGTAAATAATCGTTTCTCCAGTTGAACTTCCACCTAGGCTCCATATTTCTCTAACAACAATTGTTAAATGAACAGAAAGAAAAAGTAAACAACAAAAGTCAATCTTAATCTACTTAATCTAGGGGGAGTGGCGGGTACCACTGTAACAGTCTATCAAATAGCACAGCTGGTCAACAGCTCCTCAGGTGAATGAGGAAAAGGCATAACAACTTTGTGTTACATACATGTCCTTATACTGTACGGCCCGATGCTCTGATGCGATCTAAGTGCTCACCCTATATGTAAAAAAAACACACTTCGGACACAGCGTTAAGAGATGGCGTTAGTCGGACCAATCATTCTGAAAGCCAAACAGATGGCAGAAGAAGAAAATTCCCATGTTTGCACATGCGCAGTGCACAAGGTTCAGGTAAATCTGCTCATAGTCGCTCTGCTTTAACAGCAAAATTTGCTCACGAACACCTCACGAGGGCTGACTGAATTTCATACGTTTGATTTTCTATGGAACTTATGATTCCTGATCGGTAGGTGGCCATGAGAGGCTCGCACACCTGGAGAATCCTCCTGTAAAGGGCAGAAACTCATACAGTGTATGCCCACCTTAAGTTAAGCTAGAAGTTCATCCATAGGCGACATAAGTGCTATCTGAATAGTGCTGGCAGTTAGAAAGGATCTAGGATGAGGAAGCAAGATCCTCCCTAGTGCCAGTTCATTTAGCATAGGGACCTCCTGACATTCCTAGCTGCCACTAGCTGTATGGTTGCCCATGATCATTTGGACTACAGACAGCAGAGTCACAGGCCACCTCAGGGTTTATTGACAATGCAATATTTTGTGACATGTACTGTGCGAGACAAATTTAAATGTCCTCATCTTCATATGTTTTGGGTTTTATAACGAAGAGCTTTAGCCTTCCCTACATTTGAATAATTTTTGTTGTTCCTTTAAAGAAGGCTTTAGTCCCAATTTTACTAGCATCATTTATCTGCGTGTCTGCCGTGTAATCACTTCTGAAAGGCTGAAGGATGCCTAGATTCAGCATAGCAGTGCAGAGCTCCTTTCCTATCCTGGATAGTGATCTTGAAAACCATTGCATTAGAGCTTGTGTATAGGACAGGAGATAAGATGTAGCTTCCTCTTCATAAGTATGAGTATGAAAGCCAAACAAAGTTATCACCATGGACCTTAATGAAGCTCTGTTTTTGGATTTAAAAAACAGGAGTAGAAACCATCACAGCTGAACTGCCATTGCCTTTTATTCTGAGCCCGGAAGGAGCCATAAAGACTGCAGATAAAGAAACTCACTCTTTTGGCAGATATCAGAGCAAAAAGCAGAGCTGTTTTAAATTAGACAAGTTTAGGTGGAGACTCTAAGTACTCAAATTGGGCAAAGGGAAGCACCCAGGACACAATGAAGGGACTCACTCTTGACTGGCCTTGGAGCAGCTCAGGCTTCCAAAAGGTAGTGTCTGGAGAAAGATAAAACTTTTTAAAATCTGCTGAAACTGCTGCCCCTCACTACTGGGTCCGGATGAAGCGTAAGATGACGAGAAAATACATTCTATATTCATTTCCAGCTTTACAAAAAAAAACTAATGAGACAATCTTTAATCTGAATAAATTTAATTTAATCACATCTTTAATAAGCAATTTATTTTATTGTGGCACTTGTCAACTTCCTTATTACTGGTCAATAATAATTTTCAGTAACCTGACCTCTTGATTCTGGTTTAATTCTTAAGAAATACAACCATTTGTCAACATTTTATGAGAATTCAGGAGAAATTAAAGGAACAATGTAGGCAGCTGAACTTCCTGTAGAAAACATTTAAAAAACATTGAAAATTAAGCAAAAATGTTTCAACTGCTTTTTTAACAGGTAAGAGAATACAACATCCGTCTTCTGCATTCTGATTAAAGGCAGCAATCTTTCAAAGGACTGGTAGGTTCCTCACCCTATTCATTAGAACAATTAATGAACAATAATCAAAAGGGCAAAGTCATGTTAAGTCTATACAAGTAGAAAAAACGTATTACATATTTTCAGGATTCAACTTGGATATGAAATACACTGCAGCTTCTAAATGCAGTGCTGTCAAGTGCTTCAACATTAAACCTTGAAAAATTGTTTGTGAGGTTTCAAGTATGTGATTACATTACCCCTTTTAGGCCCCGTCCACACGAAGCCGAACCCTGGCTTAAACGCACAAATTTTTCACCAAACCAGCCTCTCATCCATACGAAGCCGGCGTTTCGGGGGTCTGTAAACGATCTTTTTTTTATTCAGCCTTCAGAGTGGGAAGATTTTGAAACGCCGTTTTCGCGTTTCCATCTTTAAGCTCTAACCGCATTTTTTTTTTTACACGCATGCGTCATAGCGTCGCCTCTAAACACGCATGCGCGACACAGTATCACAACAACAATGGCGCCGTACTGTGTTGAATGGTTGCTGCTAATGCTACTCACCCTGCTGTCGGGCTTACAACAGAATCTTCTTCTTCTGGAATATCTCCAGGAAGAACAGAGCAATATCGACGGCATAGTTCAGCACCTGAATTTGACTGAACCACGAAAACGGGCCCACAGGGCAACCATGTACAGATATTAGTGCGCATGCCCAACATTTCGTCGCTTATTTTTTTGCTTTGGCACGACAGCGCCTCTTACAGGCCTTGCATACATTTTGCAGCGTTTTCATGCATTCGTGTGGACGATCACATTTATTTTACGTCTCCGTCTTTACGACAAACGTTCTGGAAAATATTAGCGTTTCGTGTTCGTTTTGACTTCGTGTGGACGGGGCCTTAGTGAAATCAAGTTCACAAACCTCATACTGCTGTTTAATCTCAAGCTTGTGAATCATGCATTTTAATGTGTCTCATATAATTACTTTTAAAATGGAAGGTTTTCTTACAGGTTTTACATGAAAAAAGGCCTACTCCTGTGTGTAGTCTCATGTGAAAATTCAGGCTGCTTTTTAGCCTGAAAGCTTTTTTACACATTTTACACTGATAAGGTTTCTCGTCTGTATGTGCTTTCATGTGAGAAATTAAATGAGGCTTCACATGGAAACTTTTCCCACAGGTTATACACGAAAAAGGCCTCTCATCTGTGTGAGTTCTGATGTGGTTAATCAAGAGTAGTTTTATCGTAAAACCTTTTCCACAGGTCTTACACAAGAAAGGCTTCTCCCCTGTGTGGGTTCTAATGTGATCAGTTAAATGGCTTTTCTGATTGTATCTTTTTCCACATGTCTTACACAAATAAGGTTTCTCACCTGTGTGAGTTCGCATATGAAGCATATATGTGTGTCTTTGAATAAAACCCCTTCCGCAAGTCTTACACGAGAAAGGCCTTTCGCCAGTATGAATTCTGTTGTGATTCGCCAAATAACTCTTTTGACTGAAGCTTTTTCCACAGGTCGTACAGAGAAAAGGCTTCACACCTGTGTGAATCTTCATGTGTAAATTCAAACTGCTTTTTGATTTGAAGGCTTTTTTACAGTTCTGACATGAAAAAGGCTTTTCACTTGTGTGGGTTCTAAGGTGAGTAACCGCATGATGTTTCTGACTAAAACATTTCCCACAAATCTTACACGAGAAGGGCCTTTCACCTGTGTGAGTCAACATATGATTATCCAACACTCTTTTAATAGTGAATTTTTTTCCACATGTCATGCAAGCAAAGAGGTTCTCTCCTGTGTGAATTCTCATGTGTAAAGTCAGTCGGTTTTGACGCCTATATTCTTTTCCACAGGTTGGACATGAATAAAGCTTCTCCGCCGTGTGAATTTTCATGTGGCTTTTCAATGCTCTTTCCAAAGTGAAACTTTTTCCACATGTCACACACGAGAAAGGCTTCTCACCCGTGTGATTTAGCATGTGTAGCTTGACTTTACTCTGTTCAACGAAAGCCTTCCCACAAATATCACACGAGTAAGGCTTCTCGCCAGTGTGAAGTTTGATGTGGTATTTCAGCTGACCTTGCCGGCTGAACTTTTTTTCACAGATCATACATGAGAAAGGCTTCTCTCCTGTGTGCGTTCTCATGTGCTCCTTTAAAGAACATATTTGGATGAATCCTTTATTACAAAGCTCACATGAGTACGGCCTCTCACCTGTGTGAGTTCTCATATGAACAGTCAAGTGGCAATTTTGGGTAAATTTGTTATTACATATCTCACAAGTAAACCGCCTCTTATCATACCCTTTGGTTTTCTGGCTTCTCTTATTTTTTGGCTCTTCAAACATTTTTAAAACAGTGTTTTCTTGATGTTTTCTTTCCTGATTTTTCTTCTCAGTTTTAAGCAAGTCCTGTGAAATGAGCTTGCCTCTATTTGGTGTCGGTTCATTGTAGTCATTACCCTCAAAAGAAGGAGAGACCCTAAAGCCATTGGCTTCTTCCTTTACAGTTTCTTGTTCCTTATTTTGGCTGATGCAGAGGTTAATTTTTTCCTGTTTTATCTGTAGAATCACCGGGTCCTCATGTTCTTCTTTTATCTGTAGATGATCTAATTCATCCTGCTCTTCTTTTATTATAGGAAATTCTGCTTCCTCGAGATCCGAACTTGCATCACTCTTCTGGCGATACAGCAGCTGTTCAACAGGAATCTTCTCCTCTTTACAGACGTAATGCTGAGGGCAATCTGGATTGAAGACAAAAATAAATCTTATTAAAAAGGCTTCATTGTATCATTGTTGTTATCTATATACAATTTCAAAAGTACAAACACACAGTATACCTTGGAGTGAATTATCTGAATCACCATTAACAACCAAAATGGACTCACACCAATGAATTTTCAGGCTTTGGTAACCTTCAACATTAGACAAAAATGTTGTATGGCTTTTCAAAATCAATCAATAAAGGACCTACTGCTGACCTGAGAACTGTGTAAGTTTCTTGCAAATGCAGGTGTTTGCATCACCTGCTCAACACTTCCAGCAGACCTGCCTTTATTCCACACATGGTCTCTTGGCTGAACTGGAAGAAAGATGCGGTCTTCCTTCAGGCTCAGTTCTGTTCTGGCTTGTATGCAAAATTTGGCTAAAACAATGTGTTGAACAGGGGTCCGTGATATGATATGAAATTTAAATATATAAAAATATTCCCTTACAGGATAATCCTATCTAGCCAGTTTTTGTTAACCTTCAAATGTAATTTAAGCATTTTCCACCCCCGCAAATAAGGAAGGTTGCGCTTCAGCAGATCTTTACCAGATAATGCAGTAACAAATGTTAAAGAATCTGATAAAATTTTCTGATAAATCTTCTCTATATCCCAAAACCAACAATGCATAGGGCAGACATTCCATTAATTCCCTTTCACAATTTCATGATTAGTCAACCGTTTATTCATAGGAAGATGGCTCCAAGGTTTAATTAAGAGCTGCACTTGGAGGCGCCATGCTACATGTTCCCGTTTTAACACATCAATCCAAATAATTTAGAAGTGTAATGTGAGCAAAGTTTCATAATCCTCGGTTAAAGATAGCTTGAAGGAAATTGTTGAAGACAGACTGTATCAGAACTCCTCCCAGACATTTAATTTCACTTCATATGAAATAATTGAGTGTGATTTATGCTGGCACTGTTGCAGACAGTTCATAAAAATAAAAAAAGGTTTATAAGCAGCTTCAGTTTTAAAATTAAGTTAGCATGATATATATAAACATTTCAACAACATCAGTTCCTTCTCCCAGATATCCAACGGGGTGAGCCAAACCACAGATCAATGTGTAAACGTTACGGTAAAAATTTAAATATTGTTGAGAACATATGACAAATGGGGCTTTGACCACTTATAGTAGAAGTTTTATTTAACTTCGGTAGAGCTACATTTGCATTTGTTTTTAAATGGTCTCTTTTGGGTTGTGTATTATTAGTTAGTAACTTTAAAAATCTCATTAGGTTTAACTTGTGAGGTCAGCTTCAAATTGTGAGCTTAATGAAAACGGATGATCATTACCTGGTAGAATCAATGTTATAAATTTCCTACTTAGATTTTTATGATTAAGTTAGTCCCTTCCAATATACGTCCCAATGATCCCCCCACTAACGCAGCTTGCATAAATTAAATCTGGAGTTTAAGAATGGAGGTAGGACGCCCTTATTTTCAGTTATTTCATGCTGCTCAATCTAGATTCTTGACAGATGTTTGAGACAGATCCTCCACCTTCTTAAAGAAAGAGTAGATAACAATAAATTTATAGTAAAAAGAGATACAAAAATTAAAAAAGGTAACCAATAATCTTGGAGTTATCCATTTCATCCAAATTATATAGAACTTGAGTTCATCTCTGCTTAAAGATGAGATAATACACTGATCAACAGAGCTATGATTCAGTGTAAACCTGGACTTAAAGTAAAGTGTGGAATATCCCTGTTTCTGATGAGCAATATGTTTTTTTTTCTAGATATTCATTACACAAAGAAGGCAAATTAAGCAGCACCATTTTAAATCCGTAAACCACCATTTTGTCTTTCATTTCCTAGAGGCTTGCTTTAAAGCGCATGACTGTTAACTAAACCAGACAGACAGCCCCCTGTCAATAATTACCTTCTCTTTAGGGGCTACATCGTCTGATACTACATGCACACACTCTGAAATTGTTACACTATCAACGAGACAATCAGTTTGTGAGAGAGGGGAAATTAAATTACTGCCCTCAGCCTTGTTACACAGTGTGAGAGAGAAAATGAAAAATTTAACTGCTTCTTTCAGGGTCATGCTAACATCACCTGATTGTAATCTGCTGGAATTCGTTTTTTTTTCTCAAGGACAGACGGTTTTAAATTCTAAGAGTTTATTTAAAAAAAAGGGTCACGGAGCTATTGGATGTCTGTTAATGTTGTTTTTACATAGTCTATTTCAAAGGTTAATCAAAGATCAACAGTGAGGAGACAGAATAGTGGGGGAAGGATTAGGCGAAAAAATGATAGTAGCAATCCTTATTATATTTTCCTTGAATGTCCCTTTACCATGACCAATTTTTACATGTGTTTATACTGGTTTTAAGAAATAATTTTTTTGGGATAATTGAATTTCATTGAATCTTGCTCTTTAAAAGATTGAGTTAGTTATTGACTTGATTTGTAATAATGTAACTAAGATCAATTTTCTCTCAATAAAACCAGGCTGAGATTATGTCGGTATAAATGAGTCAACTAATTTTGAAAAACCAATATTAGGTGTGGAGGAGTAGCAACAATCTTTCAGTCCGGTTTAATAATGAGTCAAAATAATAATTTCTTTTCAATATTTAACCCATGGTTTCCCCTTATTTAAATGCAAAAAAGAAAAACACTTATGTTTGTTATTTTGTACCATCTACAAGGCCTAAATAGTTATTTCTCACAGATTTCTTACCAGTGTGAAATAATAAGTTATTTCCAGTGAAGGATTTTAATGTTTGTGCAACTGGGAAGGTAACGGCCTAAATGCAGCCTTTAATGTCATCTAGACTCAATCAACTTGGTTCAAAATGTGCACAGGCCCAGACATTTTTATCATCATACTTTGGACCCTGTGCTGATTTATGGATTAGACTGTGAGCAAATATTTCCTAACAACCATGTCCTGTCTGAACGTTCAGTTGTCAACTTCAACTGTTTGTTGTTTTGTATTGTAAAATGTGAAAATTGCGAGAACTTTCAAATTCATGTAAATGCGGAAAGTGACACTCTAAATGTACTTGGTAATACAATTTTAGACTCAATAGCCTATGCTCCAAACAAGAGTGGGTAATTTTCTGATGACCTTCAAATTTTCTTATCCCCCAAAACGTTTCAGTTAAGCAGATCCCTATCAGACAATGAATTAGCAAAGCTTAAAGTATGTGCACCCTTTTTAATTTTCTCAGTATAATATAAAAACACAACAGAGGGCATCCATGTAATTTATTCCCCTTCAAAAGTTGATAGTCTAGTCACTTTCATTATGTGTTGCATTAATATCACATTGAGTTGTATAATCTAACAAGCTGAAGGCCTAAATGAATTTTGATAACTCTGAAGGCTCAACTGTCACAGCATAGTTTGGGTTCCTTAGTCACCTCCTTACTTACCAAGGATGATATATTAGAAAGAATAAAGTTAGGGTTAATTCGTGAGTCTGTTAAGAAAATCTTGTGCTTTGTGTTATGTAGTTCTGAACTAAACAAAAGCGGCTGCCTTTTTTTTTCTTTTCAAGGGGTTGCATTCTTTAATGCAATAAGGAAGTAAACGTTAACTAGAAAATCAGTCTTCAAAAGCAAAGAAATTACTGCTGCCCTCTGCAGTGCTTTTGTCTGATAAGGAAGCAATAAAAATGGAACCTTACTATATCATCTGATAAGGATCTGGTGAAACAAAACCTCCTTATGGGGGAGGATCAGTCAGTTAAATTTAAGGTTGCAAAAAAAAAAAAAAAAAAAAAAAAAAAAAAAAAAAAAAGCTCAGATAGGACAGGGCTGTGGGGAAATAGTGCTTTTAAAACACTGGTGTGTCAGCACATGTTTGTAGCAAAGGCAGTTGTTAGATTTGTATTTAAGCGGTCACTTTCAGCATCAACATGAATGCTTAAATCCCTGACATTAAGGATCTTATCTGTATTAAACACTGATAAGAAGTCTTATGCTACATAGAATCAAACATATATTTTAGAGTAAGGGCTTTGTGGGTGATACAAAAGAAGCAAAAAAAAAAATGGAAGTGGTTTCAGTGCTTAGCAGGTTGGACGAGAAAACCAAAGATTTAATATTCAAGCTATGAGTTGGCCTGGGACTAATCAATAACTCAGGCTGAAGGATGGCTGCTGCTGTTCCTCCTCCTTTTCACAGTGTGTTCCTGGGAATGTTAAAATTTAAACAGCCAGGAGGACTTGCCTCATTAATGCTAACCATAATCCTCTCGCTGCAGCCAGGCCAATGGAGACTAAATAAATCCATCTAATTACCCCGAAGCAAGTAATTAACAAAAGTCTTTGAAGGGAGCGATCAAAAATTTGATTGAATGTTCTGTTCAGACACGTTCTTATCAAAATTCATGTGATATTTATGATTGGCTTTCCTGGATGAGGTCATGGCTGGATGAGGATGCCAAGATGCATAATTTCCTATTATGTATTGACCATGTGCAGCAATGTTTCAGAAATTTACCAACAAATTAACTTGCTTTGTCTTACAGAAGCTATAGTGTGTTGTTTCAAACTCTTAAAATGTGCAATAAGGTTGTGACTTAATAATAAACAGTGGAAAGAAAATGTTTTATTGCCAGGGAATTATATGCATGGCTTGTATGAGGCCTTAATTTTTTACCTATTTAAAATGTTTTCTAAATATAGGATGATACGGTTAGCAAACAATAAGGCAGCGATATCTGCAGAGTTTGAATCTGTTGAAATGACAGGTCCTCGCTGGCTACACTGGTACAGCCATTCAGTAACGCGACCTGATCCTGTCAACAAACCGTTAGTATCGCTTATTTTTTTCGTACCTATCCGGTGTAAGACGATCTGGGGCGTCCGGTTAGAACCCAGGAGCCTGCGCCATCCATCGACCTCCTCCTCGGACTTTACAATGATTTCCAAGTCAGGCGTTAACCCCTCTTTGATTAAGTCTGTCTGAAAATGAGCGGAGGACATCCTTCCAGTAAAAACTCACAGACCATCAGGAAACCTGACAGAGAACCTATCGCTTTTGTTTCTAGTTTCTTCTTCATCGGCTTTGTGTCGCATTATTGGCCATGACCAAACAATGCTTTGGCGCATTACCGCCACCAAGTGGTAACTTGTCTGAACTACAACACAATGACTGAAGAGAGACAGGGCGTTCTGTTTATTAAAAAATATGCCCTATCAACTATCAGTTATACTTATGTTATTTTTCTTTAATCAAAATAATACCAGTCTTACAGGCATTTACGTCCTTCAGCCATTTTTGTACCTTTTTATAACAAAAAAATTCTCCCAGCATCCTATTGCCATGGTTTGTTGTGTGTTTCAGCTGAAGTTATTTTATTTTTGTTTTCCTGTAGTTTCATTGAGCTCCTAAAATTCCCAATCTTGTTTTGAATTCTGTGCAATTGTCTTTTTGTGTGCTATCCACCACTATCTGTTTATGCCAGGTGTTTTTTTTTTTATTTAAAAAGAAAGAAAGGACACTTTTCCTATTTGACTAAGAAAGCCTAATCTCTTTATATCATGTTCTTTCCTATTTCCAAAAAAACTTTTTATGTATGGTTGTTATTTGCATCTACTATGAATTTTAAGTTTAAGTCCTGATTCTTTTTCCTCAAATTTATAAACAGGTATTATAATGCTATTCCTATTTGTCAAGGAATTTTAATGAAGTACATGTACAGCAATGTCTTATTCCTCATCACATATGGATATTCTTTGATGCAGTTGTAGAGTTTTGTTATTAAAACTTTTCTTTAATTTTTTAAGCTACTAGTACTGCTAAAGAGCTCAGCATCTGATGCTAGATTTTAATCAATTATTCATGCATTCATCAAAAATAAATAATACACCCAGTATGTCATCAGATAACTTGGGATACATTCTGCACCTCGTTGGTCTGTGCTATTTAATTCACTCAAAGTGAAGTCCACATTAATCACACCATCATCTTCAGTGTCCCTTATTAAAAGATTTATATTATTCCCCAAAGTTTTGGTTTTTTTCAAGCTTGTCTTTCTTCTAAACTCCAGTTTTCCCTGCTAGGAACTTTTATAAAGGGCTGAGCTTACAGTTTTTACTTTTATTATCTATAATAACTTTCTCAATACTCTTCATTATAGGATAACTATATGCTCTATTATTACCGGTACCTTACATTCTTTTGATAGTTTTCCAAACTTGATTAATGGAAGATTGCCTTCCTAAATTATCGCAGTTTGTTTATATCCATCCATCCATTTTCCTTCACACTTATCCCAGTTGGGGTGCCTATCTCCAGCTGTCTATGGGCAAGAGGCAGGGTACGCCATGGACAGGTCGCCAGTCCATCGCAGGGCAACACAGAGACAAACAAGACAAACAACCATTCATACACACACTCACACCTAAGGACAATTTAGAGAAGCCAACTAACCTAACATTCATGTTTTTGGATTGTGGGAGGAAGCTAGAGTAACTGGAGAGAACTCATGCATGCACAGGGAGAACATAAAAACTACATACAAAAAGACCCTGTGCCGGGTATCAAACCCGGAACACGGAACCACTGTGCAGCCCACCTATTTTTTTTTTTAGTTTATAGTCAATAAAATTCTAGAAACAAAGTTTTCTTTTCAATACTATAAAAGCTTTATTGCTGATCCGTATAGCTTTAGAACAGTCCTCTGTCCACCAAGGAACAATCTTAAATATCTGCTTATCTTTTCTTTCTGATTGTCTTCTCTGCTGCTTTATAAATAGCACTTCACAAAGAAAATTTTAAATTAACATTTTCTTCCATATTTATCTTTTCTCATTTCTTTCAAAAAGTAATTGACATATATCCTACTTATCTCCATTAAAAACACCACTTTCCAACTCCATCCATTGTTCCTCATATAAACTCCTATTTTAATTAATATTGGATAGTGATTGCTACCTAATGTGGTTTCTTTGTCAACTTTCCAAGAGAACACTCCTGCAAATGACTCCGATACAAGTGTTGAATCAATAGCTGAAATTTTGCACATTAAACCATTCAGACACACAAGCTTCTTCATCTCTAATACATCTTAAGTATAATCCCCATTTATATAATTAAAGTTATCCCACAATGGATTATGAGCTTTTAAGTCTGCACATAATGTTGTGTTTGATCAAAAATATCTGTGATCTCCTTCATATTTTCCAATGATAATCTAGTAGGGATATAAAAGTTCAGCACTCTAACCATAACATTCTTTATCCACACTTTAATCACAGTAAATTTAAGTCAACCATAAATTCACAATAAACAAAAATTATACATCCTCCACAATTTTCTTCCTGTCTATCTCTACGAATACAATCATATGCCCTGATAACAAAATCCAAAGTTGGTTTATTCCATGTTTCCTGCACACAGAGTTAATCAGGTTTGTTCCTATTATTTTGCACATATTTCCTGACCAATAGCAAGTTTATTGAAACCCTTATGACCAATCATTTCAGCAGCTGAACTATAGTAATAAACCATATTAAAAAAATAAGCTAAAAGCCCCTTTCAAACAAAAGGCAGTTTTTAAAGTACCGGTAGTTTTTAAAGTCACAGTGTCCTTGTTTTTTTTAAAGCAATAACACTGTGCCTCCCCTTCTAAGGATAGCGTTCCCACTTTGGGAATTAGTCATGTAACCTGTTAAGTCTCAGAACTAATTTCCAACAAAATATTAAAACATTACTTCAAATCTTATTGCAAACTTTGGTACATGTGTAAGGTAACAAAATAGCAATAGCAGTTTCGATGTTGTAGAGAAACATCTGTACTAACATTTTAGCCTACGTTTTGTCTCTATTCTTTTATTAAACTGAGATTGTGATGCGGAAACAGAGATCTTCCACATCCATCTCAGATGTTTTCCAATTCTTTCTACCTGCAAGTTTTAATTCGACTTTGGGAAGGATGATTTCAGATTGACTTTGAAGCAAACTTCTCTTGTCTGAATTTCAGTGGTCTGAAATTCAGTGAATGGTTGAATTCAGTTTTTTCCTTAAAACAATACTTCTGCTTCTCCAGACTTTAATTTGTTAAATAATCAACTTAAAACACCTCAATATGGGAAAATTTATCAAAACTCACATTCCACATTCTCATCTGTGTAATTTTTCAAGTGGACAGTAAAACCACTGAAAGTCTTCCCCACGAAACCGACAAGCAAACTTGAGTTTTCATGGTAAAAAGCTGCTACCGCTTGGTTCTGACACATCACACAGAGCAGATGCTTCTAGCTAATATGAGTCTTCATATGTTTAGTCAAACTACTCTTCAGGCTGTATGTTTTCGTACACGCGTTGCATGTAAAAGGTTTCTCCCCCGTGTGGGATCTCATATGTCTGTTCAGACGGCTCTTTAGACCAAACGTTCTCTGACAAGTGTGACATGAAAAGGGCTTCTCTCCTGTATGAATTCTCATGTGGTTATTCAAACTACTTCTGAGGCTGAAGGCCTTTTTACACATATCGCACAGAAAAGGCTTTTCCCCCGTGTGAGTTCTCATGTGATCCGTTAAACAGCTCTTCTGAGAAAACCTTTTTGCACAGATCGCGCAGGAGAAAGGTCTCTCCCCTGTGTGGATTCTCAGGTGCTTGTTTAAATGATTTTTGGAGTTAAAACTTTTTTCACAGGCCAAACACTGAAATGGTTTCTCACCAGTGTGAGTCCTCATGTGTTCGGTTAAATTACACTTTAGACTGAACCTTTTTCCACAGGTCAGGCAGGAGAAAGGCCTTTCGCCTGTGTGGATTCGCATATGCTTATTCAAATGGTTCTTTGAGGGAAAACATTTCTCACAGGCCGGACATGGAAAAGGCTTCTCCCCCGTGTGGGTTCTGATGTGTTCGATTAAAATACATTTAAGGCTGAAGCTTTTTCCACAGGTCGCACATGGAAAAGGCTTCTCACCAGTGTGAGTTCTCAAGTGAAGAGTTAAATTTGATTTTGTGGTAAAACCTTTGCCGCAAGTGTCACATGAGAAAGGCCTCTCCCCTGTGTGACTTCTCATGTGTATAGTCAAGTTGCTGTTTTGAGAAAAGCTTTTATCACACAGGTTACATGAATATTGCTTCTTGTCTTTGTGAGTGCTGTGCTCCTCCTGCTGTGACGCCACAGAATACCGACGATCCAGCCGGGTATTCTCATCCCACACATTCAGCATTTGCTCTTCATCACTCTTTGACCCTGACTCTTCTGAATCGCTTCCTCCCTGATCCTGGTTATCCACTTCAGGAGAGTCCTGGGAGACGAGTTGGAACCAGTTTGGTTCTGGTTCCTCATCAGTAGGAGTCACTGTAAAGGCATCCGAATCCTCCTTCAGCACAAGCTGCTCTTCATCTCTGCAGATGCGGAGCTCCATCTCTTCCTCTTTTATCTGCAGTTCTGGCTCCTCCTGGTCCAAACTGAGGTTCCTCTCGTGGCTGTGGAGAGGATCAGCCAGAGCATCCTCTTTCCAAACGCCATGCTGTTGGAGATCTGGACAGCAGAAGAGAAAAAAATACTTAAATCCAAGGGTTAAAGTACACAGCACAGGTCAGCTACTAGTCTGAAGGTGTGTTAATGTCCATCCCATCAATCCTACAGCTGCATTTGATTGAATGGCAGACAAAGCTTTTGATTGTATTGAATTTGGTGCAGCGTCACTCCTACTTTCCCAGTTTGAAAAATAAAAATCACAAAACTCATTCCTTTTTACTTAAAAATAATGAGTTTCTTGCATAGTTGGGGGCTGGAAATGTATGAATACCACCTATGACTGTAATTAAGGCAACGGTATTTAGAAAGTTAACTTTACAGCTAAAACAGGACGACATCAGTGGAAAAGAGAACAGGCTAGCTAGTCGAATTCAGCTAACTAGCTAGCTAACATTAGCCTTATTAAATGGGAAGATTAGCACTTAGATCAAATTTTACGTTTTATATTTCTATCCAAATTTTGCCCATTTTTTACAATTTACTGGAAAAATACTTAAAAATTATCTTTAGCTTTAAAATACCCTGAACTAGATTTATCTAACAACTTCTTAATTAAGTAGCTTATAAGTTTTGATTTATCTCAATATCTTTAGTTAAAAATCTTTACAGCTAATACCCTCACATGTGTTCTTTAATTAAAAAAGAAAGAAAAGTCCTGGCTTTATAAAATCTCTAATAATCAACATGATGCTAGCTATAACAGTGCATTAATTGTTGTATTTTTTCAAAAACAAAAATTGAAAGGTACAATATATCTAAACGCTAAACAAACACAGATAGGGCAGACAAGTAAATGGGGTAAAATGTCAGCTTGAAGTGTTTGTTTTTGAGCACATAAAATGATTTGAGCAAATCTCAATTTTCAACAGTAGCTATAAGCAGGAGCTTAGCTAGAAACTTGGGGTTACACGTATTTTTTTTCTCCCTCTCCTTATTTGAAGATAATTAGCTACTTTTCTAGATGCGTTTTATGAACCATTTAGGGCTGCAAATAAAGATTAAATTGATTCTGTGCCTGCTCAACACCTTACAATGAGCAGAGCTGTCGATCGCCCCAAGATGGCGCCACTAAATCTCGTCATCAACCATAGGAGAAAGCAGTTTATGCAGGCTCTACTCTTCTATCTATGTCTATGGTTGTTGGCATAGACGCACATATAAGAATATACTTTTCTACAAGTATAAATAAATCTGCACGAAAGCCATTTCCATTAAGATGTTCCATTTGCCCTCAGATCTTAATAAAAAGAATAAGAAGCACTGAGACTTTTTGTGTCACCTTGTTAAATGGCAAAGCTCAGTCTGTCTTAGAAGGAAGTACTTTCCTTCAACACTGAGAATGATTGTTTTCTACTTTCAGCTACTTTAGATCGCCAATAAAAAATAAAATCATAGCAAATACAGGTAAAATGTTGAGACTCCAGAAGATATATTATCCTTAAGAAACGGGTGCAATACAGTTTGTGTGATGACGTCATAAGAAGGTGCAGGGCCCCGAGTAGATTGGGTACCTACACCATCTTTTATGTTTTACCTCCAATGCAGCAGTGAACTATGACATTTAAGAGCAGCATATACTATTGCAGTGATGATGAGTCACATGGATACATTCATTATCCAAACGTTTAACTTATTTGAAAAAATAATAAAACATTTTATCATATATTTCAGTTATATTAAATATGAAATATATACTAAATATGACAAGATATTCTGATAATCATTCCAACTTACACCACTCCCTCTATGAGAAAAAATTCTGTAGAGAGGGTGTTTTCTCAGAAAGTCATTCTTATGAATCCTAATGGGCAAAATGTTCCTATTATACTTTTAACGCTGTCAGCTTGAGTTTGTGTTGGAGCATAACACGATGTGTCTGACAGACAGATGTTTGATTTTTCATATTTATCCAAAGCATGATTGACTGTGTTAATGTTAAATTTATTAATGAAACTACAGTTCTTAGTAAAAAAATACATTTTTATACAGCATTTTCCAGATTACACAAAAGCACATTTATAAAGGTGAAGGAAAAGGAGGAAAACAACTGGGATTTCTCTGAGAAAAAGCAAAGAATGGTTCTCCTTATAATGAGCCTTCTTTTATAGATCTTACAAAATCATATTACTTCATAGTTTGATCATCTGCTGTCAAAAGGCAAAAAGTGCTGGGTTTACTCTGAGACAGTTGCTGCTGTTTTCAACCGGGGGGGATTTACCATTAGGCAATACTAGGCAGTTAAATAGGGCCCCAAGTTCCTGGGGGCCCCATAAAACTCTGTTTACATGTAAAGTTAATACAACTATTCCTTATTTGTGCACATTAATTATGTTTTTGATAGAAATCCTTTCACCAAAATGCCATCAGAACGCTTGAATATTAAGTGTGTCATTTGCATTGAAAGATCATGTTCAGAAAGGTCCAAACAGACAGCAGCAAATCTAAAAACGGTGCGAAGAGCAGTTTTGCCAGCTTAGCGCTTTTGTTGCTATATTTAACGACTTTTCCAGACCTCTCTTGTGCCAATCTGGTGACATTTTTCTGCTACTGGAGGCTTTGGAAACCATATATAAAAGCAGCAAACTCTGCTCTCCAGAGCAAGTAGATTCATAACCCCGCCTCCTGTTTGACTCTATTTTGTCTGCTGTCATGATTCATGCAGCTATTATTTCATCCAAATGAAAAATGCAGAACAGATAAGCAGATCATGGCTTGTCTACAGTGAAAAGAAGGACTATGAGAAGAACACAGGAAGGAGCAATCAGCTAAGTGAGCTTAGTGCCTGAAAAAAAATATTTTATTCCTTTTGAGACGCAGTGAAAAGTCAGCTGAATACAAAACATAGAGAGGCTCCTCAATACATCACTGATCTCCTCCAGATTTATTCTACGGCACGTTCTCTGAGGTCTGAGGGCCATCTTCAGTTAATAGTGCCTAAGATGAGGCTTAAAACCAGATGGGGGAAGAGCCTTTTCTGTAGTTGGCCCCAGACTTTGGAATATTTTGCCCTTCCATATACGGACTGCCTCTACTGTGTTGTGTTTTAAGCCTCGTCTTAAGACCCACTTTTACTCTTTAGCTTTTAACAACGTGTAGTTTGTGTGGTCCTCTGTGTCCTTTTTAGTTTATTTATTGATGTATTGTGTTTATGTGTTGTTGTGTATTATTAGTTATGTCCAGCACATTGGAAACTTTTTCTGTAATTAAATGTGCTATATAAATAAAGTGGATTGGATTGGATAGGAAAAGAACAGGAAAAGGGACAAGAAAAGAGGGACAAAACATAGAACAAATCATCTATATCTATTTTATTAAAATTTCTGTATATCTGTATAATGGGTCTGTTTTATGTGTTGTCTTCTCAATTCAGAGGGCCCCCTGCCTGTCTTTGCCTAGGGCCCCAAAGTTCCTAAATCCGCCCCTGATTTCAACTCAAAGTGAACTTTGATACCAATCTCTCCTGTAAAAGAAAAAAAAAACAAACCACTCTTTTTGTTCTTGTAGCCTGATAAAATGAAATGTTTTCTACCTTTCACTCCTCATTGAAAGATCACAGGATTTGTTAATGTGGCGATACATCTCTATAATCATTAAATAAAATAAAAAAAACTGTTTGTCTATAGCTCTTTATTTATGGACCCTCCCTAAAATAGGTAAAGTTTTAATTTAACTAAATCACAATCTGTAAACCATCAACTCTTCATTCTTTCCAGTTGGCAGATTTAGCTTGCTATAATCTAACAAACTGTACACTGATAGTGAAGTATTTAAAGCTTAAATGTTGGCATAAAGCACTTTCTTTCAGGACTTTTGCCAAAGCCACATATCAGATGCTGTAAATACATGGAGATGCATGAAAATATTATATATAAATAGAATATTTTTATGGGAGAACAGTAGGATTTACTTTTTTTTATTATTATGTTAGCTATGATTAGCAAAACAGGGTTAGGATTCATTACAAAATAGACATTTTCACAAGTAGATATTGTGAAATAATGTGTGGGTCACTGAGATTGAACATGAAACATCCCATTCAGAGGGAACCTGATGTTTTTATCTGTTATATCAGCGGGTAGCCATATTGGATGCTGATCTCTGTTAAACCTCGAGGAGTCGAGATTTCAGTTTCTATGTGGCCACGTCTTCGCCTAAGGAAAAGGAACGAACATTTGAACAATTTTACCGACGTTAGTATCGCTTATTTAATACCTCGCCGGTTGACATCCAACGGAGTTGGTGGATCATCGATTTCGTCCTCTGATTTTACGATAACTTCCTCAAAATCTGGCAACGTTTCTTCATCAGATGTTAAATTCTCTTGTGCAAAGTCACTCTGAGACCGAATAAACGCCATCCTTAAAATAAACACTCACATTTTCAGATAATCTATTACTATTTCTGAAATGACTCTTCTTCTTGGTGCTTACTGTAGTTGGCAAACAAGAGATTTCTGCAATAGCGCCATCAACTGGTATGGAGTAGAAGATCAGAAGGTTCTTTTCCCCCAGAATGATTCAAAGCAGAAGTTAATATTTTTGAAACATTTAGATATTTTCACAGCAAAATTACAGTTTTTAAAAATAGTTTTAAATAGTTTTCACTGCATATTAGTTTAATTTGTTTTAATCTGTAATAGTGACAGCCTTTCAAAGCTTTTATATATTTTTTTCATTATATTAACAAAAATGTTCCCGTTCAGGATCACTGCATCATTTCATTGAATCTGTTGAATTTTTAGCCCAAACACATTATAAAACCCTTTAAGGGATTTATCTGTAAAATCAAGAATTTAATTTTCTGTTTATCAGAATTTAATTCTAAACAATTAATCGCCGTAATAAAGGAATATGTAATAAAAAGAAGATGTTATAAATGATTTCAGTCTCAAAATTATCCTATGGCAATAAAAAATGCTTTTAAAAGCTTAAACAATGCAAGAGGAACTATGTCGTTTCTGTAAAATAAAAACAGTTTAAAGAGTATAATAAATGTCCCTATTAAATGAAAGACAAAGTTTAAGTCACCAAACTACTGAATAGAAGGAAAGAATAAACAATAGTTTTAAGATTGGTTGGTAGCTAATTTCACTCATTTTAATGTGTTTAAGGGACCAGAAATATTGTCTAAACCTTAAAAATTATTTGGCAAATTTAAAAAAAAAATGTTCCATAAAAATTTAAGCTGGTGTTTTAAGACTTCTTTTTTAAACTGATCTACATACTCTTAACTATTTAAAAACGCAGCCATCTACAAAATGTTTATGAAGAACGTACAGCAAGAAACATTCAGTCAATTTTTATTCTTTTTCTATTACGCAGGAAATACCTTAAAAACATTGAGATATAAGCTATGCCAGCATTTTATGGAAAAATGAAAACAACCACCTTTGCACATTTTGTTCTTACAAATTCTAATGATTTTACATAATTTGTCTCATTTTTCCAATGGGATATAAATGGTTTACATTTAAAGAAACGGCATTTGTGTACATAAAATTTTACCAATAAAAGTAAAATATTTCCACCAACTTCATTACCTCTCCAATTTTCTTAACTATACCAGATAACACTTCTCTTAAATGCTCATAGTGGTCTCTCTAATGTTAATTGCTTGTTCAGATCCGCTGCCGCCTCTCACTTGGATTCTCACTTGGATGTTACTGCCACCTACTGGACAGGATATAAACCGCAGGGTGAATTGAATTACATCATCATATTCCATATAGCCTACCTTTATTTCCCCCTTAAAGTATTACTATTGTAGGAGCCAATTATCCTTTGGTGTTTGTCGCCACCAGGGGGCGTATTTAATTTTTGAGTTCTGAGTGTCTGATGAGGGGATGGGTTATTTAAGGTCAACCATCAATTCTGTTCAGGTGTGGTTAATAGGCTGAGGCAAACAGTTTTCTACTGTGCTTGGTTGGATTTATGTTGTATTTATGTGGATCTTGAAGGAAACAGTAAGATAATGGACTTTGTGCTGAAAATAAATGACTTTGTTTCATGCCTCAAACGGAAGATCGGCATTCTAAATCTTAATTGGGCGCACGTAAAACCAATGCCTTCCAACAGAAACCACCAGTATCCTAAAATATAGGATTTTAGCCGCTACAACTATTACAAGCAGTATTATTTCTTGGACATTAATATTTTTACTGTTCCTGCTCTTTTTGAATATCTGAACTGAATAATGATCAATAATTCCACACTATCAACACATCAAAGGTTCCCAAAGTGATTATATACTGAAACATTTTCAGCCATATCACAGCCATGCACAGGAAATACTAAGGATTAGTGATACCCAAATCTACCAAATTATTATGAGGTTATAAGAAATCAAAAACTAATTATTTAACTGCAATCTGTATCCAGCAGTTTCCCTTCAAATGTGTAATTTGTGAAAAAAAATCAGCTCAGTTGGTTTGAGACTTTGTCAGGCCTACAGTTTTCAATCAGGCGGTCTGTGCTGATTGAGTTCTTCCTTTAATATGACAATTTCTTTAAATTCAGCGACTGTTTCTTGTATTATAAATCTCAAGTTATTTGGTTGTTGACAAAATTTCCCATTCTAAACTACATATATTCTTTCAGGAAACTCCATACATTTTAATCCACAGAAAACCACTATTTCCCAAAAAACTCCAAGCAGAGGGAAAACACTCTTAAACCATTCACTTTGAATTACCTGAATCATCTTTCTTATTTCTGACTGAGATCGGAGCAATCGTTGTGGTGCTTTTCTCCCAATGGCTGTTGCCACCGTAGAAAGCAGATTACTATCCAAGAACAGAAATAAGCTTTATTGGTGAAATTTGTGCTAACAAACAAGGGATTTATATCTGGTTACACTTTACTCTCAATGTAGAGACTTTTTGTATATAAATATACACATATGGTGGTATATAAAACAGTATTTTTTTTATAAATCAAACGTAAAAGTTTCAGTTAAAAAACAAATTGGATTACAGCAACAGGATAAGTCAAGTCAAGTCAGCTTTTATTGTCACTTTCTTCACATGTACAAGACATACAAGGGAAATGAAATTACGTTTACTCTCTAGAAATATACAAATATACAAGAAATATACAAGACTGACATTTAAAAACTGACATAAAGTGCGGGACATGACAGGTAACAGTGATAAGATAAATAAGAAGTATAGACATTACAATAAAATCAATAAATTGTTATTACAGGCTGAGGTAGTGCAGGTAAGGTGCAGTCTCTGGTACAGTGTATGTGTGTGTGTGTGTGTGAGAGGTGTGTGGGTGTGTGTGTGTGTGTGTATGAGAGGCAGGGGCGGATCTAGAAAAATATTGAGCTGACTGAGCTGTGCTAAAGTGATCATTATTGAATTGAGTTTTTGAAATAAATAAACTTTCAGTTATGATTCTAAAAAGAAAAGAACCTGCAATTCTATGTATTTTTATTATATTTGTTGAATCTTTTAGGATAACCTGAGGGACACATATTAAAAAGATGTTTCCGTACTTATTGTAGAATGTTCTGTTATGGGCATTGTCATTTAAAAAAAAATCCTCTATGTTTGATATTATGCTTGAGTATTTTCTCAAACGAGATAGAAAAAATTATAGCTATCCTTGGAATCCGTTTTAAGATCTCTTCTGTCTTCTTCCTCCATAAATCTATTCATGCTCTGTTTTTTTGTTGTTGTTGTTGACTATGTTCTTCATTGGTGGGTAGGAAGGGAAAGAGTCTGTTATAATCAGCTGATTTCTTCAAAAGCACTTTCTGTGACACATAGCTTTATAAAAAGCACTAATAAGCCCAATTAAGCTAAATCGACCAGAGTTTGTTTGTTTCTTTTGTGCAGGTCTGATTTAAGCCCAGC